GTGGATCGCAGCTAGGTGACCCGCAGCTATCTTGACAAGTCACCAGCTGCCATGTCTGGCTCCGGCAGGAACTGGGCAAGCAGACGGGCCTTCCACAGCTCACCTCAGAGGAGCAGAGCGAGATGGCTGGCACGGACGGGCATTTCCTGGAACAGCAGCTGCCAGACATGGTGGAGGTGCTTGTGCTTCCTTGTGAGTGCCGAGAGGTGGCTGCCTGACTATGACAGCTCTCTGAGACCCTCACTTTTATACCCCCTCACTGGCACATGCTGTTTTGGGCCCCTGCATCTTTTCCTCATTGCTGTTTGGGCCAGTTTGCAGAGGAACATCTTATTATACCCATGTTTGTTGATCTGCAGGCTATTTGTCTACTCATAAAGGAGCGTTTATTTATTGACTTGCTAAATTTGGAGTCCTCAGAGCTACAGTAGCCTTAGAATAAGCACAGTGACCTCCAAGCTGGATGATCTATATTTCTGAGCATCACGAACAGGGAAAGAAGAATGTAACTGACAATTTATCCACCTTCTATTCTTTTGTGTACCGCATGAATAAGACCTACTCACCCATTCTCATGGCTCCCACTGTCTAGTAGACAGACAAGCTGCAGAAAAACTCCCTGCAACACAACGGCAAGTTCAACAATAGACACACAGGGATTAGTAGAGAAGAGCAGTGGCAACCTTGGTAAGGAGGGCCTCACCTGGCTGCATTTTAAACACCTGCACCTTACAGCAATGATCATACTTAAATCCATCAGCAATCCCATGAGACAGAGATTATTTTCCCCCATTAGAGATGGAGAGATGGGGGCAGAGGGTGAGAGGTTTCAGTCACTTGCTGAAGAGCACACACAGCCCACCCCCCGATCCAGGGCTGCTGTCTTTCCTCCTCACCAGCCTGTCCAGATTGACCTTTCTCGGTAGACTTCATGGAAGTCACACATCATGGGATCAGCCCCCTGCCACCCTCCGTCCTGTCCCAGGAGCAGCCCTGCCCCAGGACATTTGCTCAACTTGTCCCTGAAAGCACCTGACCCATTCTCTCTGCTCCTCCTCAAGCATTCAGGAGACCTCCAGGGTCCTCCTTGCCTTTGGAGATCTTGACAGCTCCTAAAAAAAGATGACTCCAAGACCCAAAAGATAAAGAGGAAAAATCAGAGGTTACGGGTGGCTTCCCATGTTTGTCTCTCAAAGACACTGTGAGCAAGAGATTCATCTCAGCTACTACTTGAGACAGAGGAAGAGAGAAATGAACCCGAGGTTCCTAAACACCAAGGCCTGACGTCCTGGCTCAGTGAAGGGCCCACCTTGCCTCACCACACATTTTTATGATCAATGCAAAAAGTAGGCTCTCCCCGGGAAAAGCTGAGTCATCGTGCCACCCATTCATCCCCTCTTCATTCATTAATTTATGCAATCATTGATTCAATTTCTCTTTTATTCATCCATTCAACTCAGCCAACACTGGGTTCTATGTGACAGATGCAAAACAGGTGAGCTGTAATTCTGGCCACAAGGAGCCCAAATGTACGAGAGAGATAGACACATCCATAAATAATTATGGTACAGCATTCAAGTGCTATGAAGAGGGATGCATGGGGTGTTCTGGGGGTGGGGGAAGTTAAGGAAGCCTTCTCAAGGAACATGATGGCTCAGGGAAGAAGGCTGGAAAGGGGTGGAAAGGCCAGGAAAAGAATGAGCTATAGAAACCGAAGACACAAGAGCACGATACATCTGGGAAGCCGCAAATGGTCCAACATAGCCAGGATGACAAGCTCAAGGGGACAGGAAGGGATGGCGATGGGAGTAGAGAAGTTCCTGGGCACCCAATCATGAAAGGCCTTACAGACCATGATTAAGAACTTGGATTTTATAGTGATACCTGCAGGTTCAAGCAGGGGAATAACTTGACCAGGCTTGCCCTTTGGAAAGTTCTCTCTGGCTGTGGAGAAGTGGGGACAAGGGCAAGTCTGGAGGCAGGAAGACCATTGGGGGTCTGGGGCAATTACCCAAAGCCTCACAGTGACAACCTGAACTGGGAAGTGCCTTGGGGCTGGAGCAATAGGAGAGGCTTCAAAGTAAAGAGGGAGCATCTACAGGTCTTAGTGGTTGAACATGGAAGATTGGGATCAGTAGGTGTCGTTCTTTCCAATGTGGTTCTCAAGCAGCAGGCAAAAGGGACTTTTGAACAATCCTACCGAGGGGAAGGTAGAGCTGGAGCCCCCAGGACCCTGCTCCCTGCCCCTTGACATCACATAAGCACCATGAGGGCAAGGACCTTGTCTTTTCACCTATGTATACCCAGCACCCAGAGCAGTGTTGGATACCTAGGAGGTGCACAATTAATATTTATTGAGTGAATAAATGAGAACCTCTATGGATAGCTAAGAAGGGCAACCCTTTGTCAGCAATTCACAGAAATCACTGCCTCCACTCATGCATCCAGGAGACATGACCATGAGCAACAGGATAATCAGATGCTCTGAATCACAACTACTCAATGCAAACCTGCTGGCCTCTGGGCAATTGTGTCCTCTTGGCAGCTCCTGCTCTGCCTGTGGCTTTGTCCTGGGGGTTAAAGAGTCAGTTCCTAGGAGGCCAATTCTAGCCAGAGCAAAAACGGCTTCAACAGTAGAGTCCCAAACTGAACCAGGGAAGTTGAATCTTGAATTCTCTCCAAAAGAAGACATACTAATACTGCTGGGTTTGTGAATGAAAACAAAACAAAACAAAAATGAAAACACAATGAGCTGCTACTGTACACCTGCTAGAATGGCTAGGAGTAAAAAGGCTGACGATACCAAGTGTTAGCAAGGACATGGAGACATTGCAACTGTCGGACATTGCTGGTTGAAATACAAAATGGTACAGCCACTTTGCAAAATGGTTTGGTAGTTTCTTTTAAATTTAAACATTCACTGACCATTTGCACAGCAATCTAACTCCTAGGCATTTATCCAAAATAAACGAAACATACGTTCACACAAAAACTTGTACATGAATGTTCATAGCAACTTTATTCATAATAGCCAAAAACTTAAAACAACCCAAGTGCCCATAAGTAGGTGAATGTATTTTTTAATGTAGTTCATCCATACAACAGAACACTAGTCAATAAAGAGGAATAAATTATTGATAGCTGCAACAACGTGGATAAATATAAAAAATGTTATGCTAAGTGAAAAGAGTTCACACTGTAAGATTTCTTCTATATGAAATTCTAGAAATAGTGAAATCTGTAATAACATAAAGAAAAGATTGATGGTTCCAAGGGGTTGAAAGGGGGCAGTTGACTACAAGGGGAAACTACGAAATTTGTAGGGTGGTAGAAAGTTCCATATCTTGAGTGTAGTGGTGGTTACATAAGTATATACAATTGTCAAATCACATCACTGTACACTAAAAATGGAAGCATTTTATTATATGTAAATTATATTTCAATAAAGTTTACATAAAAAACCAAAATTTTAAAAAGGCAAAAAGGTAAAAGTAGCATAATCCCAGTTTTATTTGTAAATATGCTTAGAAAGGAGTCTGGAAAGATATATATCAGCAGTAAACTCTGAGTGGTGAGTATTCCCGGAGCTATCATTTCTTCTTCATATTTTGGGGGTTTTTTCATATCTTTAGGGACCATTGTTATGCTTATAATCAGAATAAAAATTTTTATCTGTTTTTCAAATGAAATATTGTTTTGTAGGAGTAAAAATAAACATTATTCTTCCAGGGCAAGAGCAGAATTCGTTTTATTCCACATGTAACTTAAGATCATTTTCATCAAGAGGTTGAATGGACAATCTTGAATTTTAACCTCCCAGGTGGACCCACACGCCTTGGTCAGGGATCACTTTGCTGGGACCCAGTTTGAATTTGCAGATGTGCACTCGTTCCCTCCTCCTTGGGGGACGCAGGCAGAAGAAATGCAACTGGTTCCGGGACAAGACAACCTAACACAGAAAAATGAGACCGGGTCAAGCATGGAGCTGAAGGAACTGCCCAGAACATCCTCAGAAACTGTGTTCACAAGCTTTGCCATAGGAATTCCAGAATCAAGCTTGTTTTACAGAGTCTCCTCCCCTGTCTGTGCCAGGAAGTTCTGACCCAGCCCGATGCCCTCCTGCAGAGTCAGGCAAGGAGAACTGTGGCACAGAAGGAAGCCATGCCCCCATCAGGATTAAATTTGGCCAGCATCAGCCACTCACCCAGGAGCTTATAAAAATACAGGTCCCAGGGCACCCTAGGCCCTGGAGCTAATGGATCAAATCTCTAAATGTGAAGCCCGAGAATCTGTAGTTTTAAAAGCCTCCCGAGTGAATCTCATGCAGAAGATGGGAGCTTCAGTCTACATGCGTGTTTCTCAAACTTCAGTGCGTAAGAATTATCTGAAGTTCTTGTTAAAAACACAGATTTCAGGCCACACCCCTGTGGATTCTGATTCTGTGTCTCAGGGAGAGCCCTAGAATCTCCAGTTTTAACTAGCCCCTGGGCGATGATTCCCCTGCAGGCGATCCACAAACCACATTTAAAAAACCCTAGCGCGGATGCCGGAGTAAATGTGGTCAAGGAAGAGGCAAGAGAACTAATTGTTTTATGCCAACATGCTCAAATTTATTGAGAGGCTAACAAAAACTGGGGGTTTGGGCATCTCAAAAGCAGTAGAAATCCAGGCAGGAGGTCGGTCCCAAAGACACCCTGAAGAAGAGAATGGCTTAAAGTACAAGACATTTAACTTCTTGCGAACAAAGCACTAGAGATTCACCCTTTGAGCTCAGGGAGCACTTTGTTGAGACCCAGTTTTAATTTCTCGCCAGGATATGGCTCTTGTTCTCGTGCCTTGAAACTCCAGGGCAGACGTTGGAGAACAAGCCCTTCTCTACAAATAACAGCAGAGCCAGGACACTGTCTTGCCGACGTGGAAAGTTCTGGACATGAGGGGCTCTCCCTCGGGGGCAGCTGGAGGCTTTCGGTGGGACTGCGTCAGTGGTGGGGCAAAGGTCCTCACTTCGTGTCGCACACCGGCGAGGGCTGGCAGCACACAGGGCCGCAGCACCCGGAACCGCAGCACCCAGAGCCACAGCACCCGGATCCACAGCAGCTGCCGCCGCAGCCGCTCCCGCAGCCCGATCCACAGCAAGAAGAGCCGCAGCAGCCGCCGCCGCAGCCCGAGCCCCCGCATCCCGAGCCCCCGCAGCCGGAGCCTCCGCAGCCCGAGCCTCCGCAGCCGCAGCACGACCCGCAGCACGACCCGCAGCAGCCGCAGCAGGCCGGCTGGCAGCAGCACTCTTCACAGCAGTTTTGATCCTGGGAGCAGCAGGCGAAGCAGTCCCCCGGGCAGCACCCCATGGTCCTGGCTGGTCAGGTCGCAGGTCAGTGTCGCGGCCCGGGTTCCCCCAGACTGACCGTGGCCGGCTGGACCGCAGCTTTTATATCCCCTCACCCCAGGGTGTTGGCACAAGGGACAGGATATTTTCTTTGTTATTATTTATACCAGTTCCTGTAAGAACATCTCATTAACCGGCTGTTTATTTTCCAGCTCTGAGTACCTCGACCCATAAAAAAAGCCCGACTCATTCCAACTGCTGTTTGTCCAGAGGGTAAAAATACATCTTGGAAAAGACGTGACATCAGGGCCAAACGTCGGCCGGACGTCATCAGCCCAGGGTGAAGAGAGGAAGGGGAAGGCCCTGGAATGCGGGCTCGTTTCCCACATCTTCTCCGGTGGCAAGATGGCAGAGGAAGGACCCTGTTCTTCATGGATGCCATGCCTGGAAACCAGAATGGTGACATCTGTGAGCCCTGTTCCTTCTGCTGGAGGCAGAGGCTGCTGCAGAAGGTCTGGTCGTGTGACTCCTCCCGGGTGCAAATGGCATCCTCCTCGCAAATATTTGTGCCTGCGTGCGGTATGCGGAGTGTGCCACACATTCGTTTGGGCTTGGTCGGTGAGTATCAATCACGAGTAATGACTGGCCCTCGAAACGAAGAGAGACTCATCATAAAACTGCGGGAGGCTGGAGAGCCACGTTCTCTCTCGGGGCACAGCGAACTGAACGCTCACACGTCTCTCTAAACAGGTGGGAAGAGCTGTGGTCAGAACCTATGACCCCCACCCCCACCCCAGGCCTTTCTGCCATGCAAGAAGGAAGAGATGCAGGAGGAGGAAGAGGAAGATAAGGAAAGGAGGGAGGGAGGAGATCACTAAATATCAAAAATACTGCATTAGAATAGGAATATTGTGCCCTTTTTTGTAAGAGCCCCAACCTTATAGGCCATCTGGCAGAATGAGGAAGTAGCATGCAAAATACCCAGAGTGTCATCCTGGGGGATAAAGTGGCTTTGGAAAGAGACTAGAATCCACAGAGGATTCAGGTTCCTGTGTACATTCTGAGATGGGTCAAAATTTCTGTCTCCGTTTTGGGCTCTGGTACCTTGTCATCCTCTTGGAATGAGCGTGGCAGCCCAGGAGCTTATAGGCTCAGCCCCCTGGAATACCTTACCAGTAGGGGTGGGGTAGGGGGATGAAAAGTGGGGATGGGGGTGAGGATCTGGATCAAGGGACACAGCTTTTTCCTTGCATTTCCCGTTCCTTTTTAGATGGGCCTGGAAGCCAGGCAGCCCCCAGGGAGGGCTGGAAGGACTGCGGATGGGGCCAGGGTTGGGGGGAAATGGCAAGTGGGCAACTTGGATCTGATATGACACTGAGAACTTCACAGAATGTGGAATTTTAGAGCCGGGAGGAACCCCTGAAAGATCACCTGGTCCAGGGTTTCTAAGCCCTGTGTTATATCATAATTGCCTAGGGTGGGGGCTCCTGAAAAATACAGATCCCCAAACTACCTCCCAGTCCTTATGCTAAATCAGAATATGTGCTCCTGAGAGCATGAGAAGCTACACATTTTTAAGTTTCTAAGATGACTCAGATTATCAAATAGGTTAGGAAACACTGGTATAATTGAATATGACCATGACCATCACCCCCAAGCACTTGTATTTTACAGAAAATGAAACCAAGGCCCAGAGGAGACACATCAGTGATAGATTGGACCCATAACCCAGATGTCTTGCTTCCTGGTCCACGGTTTCTCAAGCCAGTCCATGTCCACAGATGGCACCTGTGGGTGAATATAATGCAGCAATGTCCGTGGCAGACACATCCTTTTATTTATTTATTTATTTATATATGAGGTCACACATTCGCAGGGTAAAAGACACAAAAGAGTATGCAGTGAAAAGTCTCCCTCATCTTCCAGCACCTCACCATTTGGTTCTCTTGCCTCTCACTCACCCCCTTCTCTGCTCCCGCAATCACTTAACCCCTCTGTGCCCAAATTTCCTCATCTATACAACAGAAATTGAAATAATAATAGTGCAATCTAAACGAGTGAATATATATACATATAGGACACTTGGAACAATGATTGGCCACATATTGTTTGGTAAACATTCACTATTGTTACTATATTGTACATATACAAGGAGATAGATGTATAGATAAATAGATGTAGATATATAGAGTATTTTTGTTCATTACACGAATGATATATGTGTGCATTACACAAATAATATACATACTGGGGTTTGGGTTTTTTCCCAGAAGAGGATTTTTCTTTATTTTTTTATTCAAGTAACTGCAAATAGGAAACCAGATGAGGAGCCCCAGGTTGGGAAAAATAATGGCTTCCCCATCCCTGATAGAACGGGGGGAGAAGGTGGCCCTACACTCTCCACAGTCAACATTGGGCCCCCTCCTGACCCTGCTGCAGCACCCCAGGGACCGGGCCCCACCTGCGATGTTTCATATGCTCAAGTGCCATCCATGTTCCCTCTTCTGTGAGTTATGTTTTCATCTCCACTGTCATTTTTCTATTGGGGTGTTGGTCTTTTTCTTTGATTGATGGGAATCCTTTGTGAAACAGAAAAAGCTTTGTCTGTAGTAAGAGTTACAAATATTTTTCACAGGTTTTCATTAGCCTTGGACACTGTATTCAAATAATAATAATAAAATGTTTGCATTGTAAATTTCATACCTGCATACTGTAAATTTCTGAAAAATACAAAAAAACCAACGAGAGAAAATAAAAATCATCTATAATCCCACAACAAAGATATTTACTGCTAATATTCTAGTTTTCTTTTTAGTGTTTTTTCCTAAAGATATGCATATAAATATTGATATGAATGTAGATAAATATGTGACATATACATATATAAATATATATATGAACATATATTAGGTACAAATTTCTAAATCCATCTTTTAAGGTATGTTAAAAATATGTAACTTAATTTTTCTCTAAGACTTTTTAAATTTATTTCTCTGTAAACTCAGAAATTATTCAGGATTTCTTTCCCCACCACCGTCCTTCATCTGGAGGTGCTAAGTTTGGGGTAACTTGGACAGTCCCATAGCATTCAAGAGGGTGACAACAAGTTCACAGTGGGCATCTGCTGAAATGTACATGGTCCTTTTTAATTCTCCCCGTCATTCCACTGTGGCATCAGCTGAGATATCGGGGTTCTCCCTGCTCCCCAGTCCATGAATTCTCCATCCTCCCATCACCCCATCCGGGAGACTGGAAGGTCCTGGCCATCTGACCACCCACTCCTCCACCACAAAGGTCTACTTTGAATTGCAAAAGCTAAGCATTGACTTAAGTCATTCTCTCTGCATTTTCACAGTAACGATCCTACACCTGAGGGCAGTGAATATAGAAAGTCCCCCCTGCTGCCCAAGCCATGAGCAAAGACCAGCAGTGAAAGAAATTGCAGAAGATAAATTACACCAGTGAATACTTAAAGTTCTCATCCTGACACATCTCTTTGCACAATTGAAACCCTAGCATAGAATTTGAGATGTACACTGAATATCGTACTTAACCTGAGAAAATTTTCGTGAGTATATTAATTATCAAATATTATAAAAATTGGGGAATTTATATTTTCAAGTCGATGTGAACCTTCCTTATTATTGGAGATCTAAGTTGGTTCCGGTTTTCCAATATTAAAAGCAAAACACTAAAAAAATAAAATAAAAAGCAAGACACTGAGGTGAATTTCCTTAAAATATAAATTTGTGTGTATCCTTTTTATTTCTAAAATAAATTCCTAGAAATGTAATTAGCGAGTCTTTGGCATGTTAATATTCATAAGATTATTAATAAATATTTAAAAATCACTCTCCAGAAAAACTCTCTTCATCAGTATCCATTTCATAATGCCCTCACCAATACCAGGTATTTTTAAAAATCTCTTTGTTAACTGGGTAGTCCAGTCAGGAAGTCCCATTGTAGTATTTATTTATATTTATTTAATTATTAGTGCCTTTATTTTATAGGCCACTGTTATTTCCTCTTTTGGAAATTATCTGAGATGCTGATTTTTCTATTAAGCCACCCATCTTTCCTAATTTATTTAAATGAATCATTTCATGCTAAGTATATTAGCTTTCCTTTGTGTCACTGACACATGTTGCAAAATTTGTCCTAGGGTGTCATTTCCTTTTAATTGTATCTATGGTATTTTTATGCACAGAATTTTCTTTCTATATGGGCAAATCTATCTTTTTTTTTTTCTGGTGGTTTTATGTTTTGACAGTTCTTCCCCATCCCCAAATCAGACAACCGTTCACTTTATTTTCTTCTAGTTTTTTATGGTTGCATTTTTTACACTTTAATGCTATTATCCATCAGGAATTTATTTTGGTAGATACCTACCTCAACACATGCAGCATTTTTGTGTGGCAGATATTGCTTTATAAAAACATCCTGGCTTTCCTAATTGGGGCACTTGAGTACCTGTGCAAAGGTTTACTGTGTTAGAACAGGATGCAGAGATCATCAAAAGCCTGTTCTGGCGGCCTCTAGTGTTCGGCTCGCGGCATTACACATGCAGCGTCAGGTGTTTCAGAAGCGCTCACAAGACCAGCTCCCATGCCGGCTTCAGCAGCTCCACAAAAACTCGGTTTGATGCGAGCAGCTTATCATGTTTACGTGGAACTGATTTAAATAGTGTGTTCATTAGACATCTCTTGGCAAAGGAGGCACATTATCAGTCCCTCCCATGTGCCAGGCCCTGCAGCAGGCTTTTTATATGTGTTTTATTGGTTAATGCTCAAGATAACCAAATACAAGAAGTATTAGCATCCCTATTTTGTACATGAGGACACCGAAGCTCATGGACATCATTTACTTTAACTAGAAGATGCAGAGCTTGGATTTGAACCCAGATCTGTCTGCTTCTGAAGCCCACCCTCCGTCCTTTATGCCTGGCTCTCCTGAGGGAATCACAGAAAAAAATGCCTCTTCGTCTTCAGGTAAGTCTCAGCATCATAATATCTTCAAGTGATT